GAGTGTGACTTAATAGATGAACAGTTGAATGGTTACAATGCACAAAGATATTTATTCATAATTTCATAAATACATGTCAGCGTTTCAAGAGATTACCATATCTTTTCAAATATGTTGCATGGAAGTTATCGAAAATGACGACATATCCACCAAATTTTCTCATTTTTGCTAATAGATTTTTAGGGCATAAAAGCCTTCACTCTGTCTCTTTATCTAATAGATTTTGAATGTTGGAGTAGAATACTAGAATGTAATATATAGTACTATCTCGTTCTTCTAATTTTTGTTTTGAAAATTATGTTTTTTTGGGTTTGGTTAACCAAACAATTTAATTAATATAGATATACATGCTGATAAATATATATTCTCTTACCCAAGCAACCGTGAAAAGACAAAACACATGATAAAAGAACGATCCACCTATGTTATTGATTAAACATCTATATAGTTTACATAATAATATAAAATATATCTATACAGTGTTGTGACAGAACATCTAGCTAAGATAATAATTACGACACCAATAAGAAGAAAAATTCAGACCTCACTTACTCATCGCAAATGCTCCGGCGCATAAATCGCTTCTCACATGTGCTCTCTCTCTCTCATTCTCAATTGTATATATACACACAAACCCTCACCATCTCATGTCTCTCTCTTTTCATTTTATATTATACAACATTGAAGATATATCAATGGGGAACTGCTTGAGACACGACAATGGCATTGCCGGAATAGAGAAATACGAACCCGAGCCCGAGACGACGGTTAAGTTATGGGAAGAAGACAAAGTGAGTAGTAGTGAGGAAGAAGAAATTAATGAAAGATCAATGGAAGGAGACTCGAAGGTGGTAAGGATTAAAGTTATGGTGACAAAAGAAGAGCTTAGACAAATCTTGGGTCACAAGAAAGGTAGAAACTCCATTCAACACTTAGTTCATGTGCTCAAAAATAATGGCAGAAACATCTCTAGGGTTTATGAAGAAGATATCGAGGAAGAAGAAGAACTAAGTGATGAAAATTGGAGGCCTACGTTAGAAAGCATTCCTGAGAATCATTGTTGAAAATAATCATATATTTAACTAAAATAATCCAATTACTTCACTACTTTTTGACCTTTTCCAAGATGACTGTTTATGTTGTTGTCTATGTATTGCTCCTTTTTAACCAATGTTGTCTCAGAAACATTGG